CTTCTGTTTCAAGACTATTTGGGCTGTTCTGGGTCACTTGAATTTCCATTCAAATTTTTGAACGAGCTTGTCAGTTTTTGCAAAAGGGCAACTCACATTTTCAGAGGGATTGGGTTGAATTTGTAGATCAATTTGAACAGTGCAACTATTTTAATAAATAAGATATTTCAATGCATGCACATTTACCTAGGTCTTCCTTAATTTCTTTAAACAATGTCTTTTACTTTTTAGTGTATATTTTAATATGTTAAATTTATTCCCATGAATTTTATCATTTTGATGCCATTAAAAGTGGAATTGTTTTCTTAATTATCTTTTTGGATTGTTCATTGCTAGTGCACAGAAACACGTGATTTTGATATTTGATGCTGAATCCTAACCTTGCTAAACTTGCTGATTAGTTCTAGTAGCTTTTTTTTTGTGTGTGTGTGTGGGGGGGTCTTTGGATTTTCTATATACAAAATCATGTCATCTTCCTTTCCAGTCAGGATGCCCTTTATTATTTTTTTCTTGCCTAACAGCACTGTTTAGAATGCCTATTTCAATATTTAGCAGAAGTGACTAGCAGAAATCCTATCCTGTACATGGAAAGCAACCAGTCTTTTACCATTAAATACATTATTAGATGTGGGCTTTTTTTTTTTTTTAATAAATGCCCCATATTAGGTTGAGTAAGTTCCCTCCTATTTCTAGTTTGTTGATTATTTTTTGTTTTTAAATCATGAAAGGGTTTTAGATTTTATCAAATGCTTTCTCTGGATCTGTCAAGTTGATCATGTGATTTCTTTCTTTACATATTGATGTGCTGAATCACATTAATTATTTCCTAAATCTCTCTGGGTTATGATATATAATCTTTTTACAGATGCTCCTATATTTAATTCCAATAAACACATACTAAGTTGAAAACATCATAGGTTGGAAATGCATTTTATACAACTGACCCGATGAACATCATGACACAGCCTGGTCGACTGTAAAGATGCTCAGAGCACAGAAGAACCAACAGCTGGGCAAACTCATGTAACATAAGCCTATTTTATGATAAAATGTTGATGACTCATGCAATTCATTGAATGCTTGCGTCAGAAACAGTATGCTGTGCAGAGTTGTACATCGAGATCAGAACACCACTCACCACAGCTGCCCCGCGTGGGGGGAAAGTATCAGGCTGCTTATTATTAGTTCAGGAAAAGAAATTCAAAATTCAATATTCAATAAATTCAAAATTCAATATTCAATGAGCATGTATTGCTTTCCTACCACTATAATGTTGAAAGTCTAAATGTTATAGTTGACACCATTTGTGTACATCACATGATTCAATTTCCTTGTGTTTTGCTGAAAGACAGTGGAATGAGATGGACACCATTACCCTAAGTACATGAATGGAGACATGAATGGTGTGAATATACTTTGTATATAACCAGAAAAAATAAATACACAACAAAGAAAGTTTTTGCATCTATATTCAGAGATACTGGTTTCATAAAATGAGTTAGGAAGTGTTTTCTTCTTATGTTCTCGAAATCTGTGTGGTATTGGTATCACTTCTTCCTTAAACACTAGTGGAATTCATCAATGGAGCCAAGAAGGCCTATAGTTATCTTTATGGGGAGGTTTTTAGCTACAAATTCAATTTTTACAATGAATAGAGGGATTTTTAGGGCTATCTATTCCTGCTTGGGTGAGCTTTGGTAGTTTGAATCATTCAGGGAATTTGCTTATTTATTGGCATAACACTATTCCTAATTTTCCCCTACAGCCTTTTGATGTCTGTAACAATCTATATAAGTGTCTCAT